ATCACATGGATAAAAGTCCAGCCTGCAAAGTGATCTCCTTGGAATCTCTCTTATTCAACTTCAGGTGACAGGGAAACTGTTCCTACTTCTTCCCCAAAAAGGTAGGGAGAAAAAAATAACATAGCAGTTCCAAACCTCTTCTCTGCTCCTTATTGTCAACCGTTTGATGACCTTGAGCCTAAGGATTGCATAACCACTTGGCAATTCTGTATATGTGAATATGGGAGTATTTGTCCTCTACATTTTTTCATTTGGGTTTCTTTATTTCTTTTTAAAAATTTTTTTGAAATGTCAGCCAAAACTGAGGCAGAAGCAGTCCCATTTAAAAAAAAAATCTATAGCATCTGAATGTTTATATTTCAATAACAAACCTGTAATTCTCAGTGTATTCTATACATTAAAAAACTTTAAATATATTATTATATTCTAGACATCAGAAACATACAAAAAGATAGAGTTTTAAAAGCATGCTATAAAACAAATGTGAACAGAGATTCTCATTTTTCTTCGTCTCTGCCAACCTATTATTTCACACCTCCTACTTGGGAGACCTGAAGCTCTGAAAAAATAATAAGAGTTTGACTCAACTTATACGTTACCAAAGTTACAAAAATTTTGGAAAAAAAATTTTAAATGCCATGGGCTTTTTAAAGTTATAACTGATAACAAAAATTAATTTTCTCCACTGAGATTCCAAAAAGAGGACTGTGAAAAAAATTCCCTACAGTTATGCAGCTGCAGGCGTATCTGGAATCCCACACAAGATGTACTTTCTAGTTATCCACCACCTCTTCAACAGACTCTCAAAGGAATTGTTAAATATGATTGTTTTTCATGGTTTGAGACTTTTTTAAAATGACACAGCATGGGCTGGGAGACTCTTCAGTATTTGTTGCTGGTGTATTTCTGAGCTGTGTGACAACGGCTTCATGCTCCAAAAGTCACATCAATGAAGAAACTGCACCCTTGTGTTCACATGCGGGGACTGCCATCATGGCTGCCTCAAACTACAAAATGGCTTTTTTAAAGAAAGGATTCCAGCCCATAGAGAAATTTAAGGATAAAGACACTGGTTCTTATTTAGCCAAGCTCTGTGGTTACACATACCATCAAAGGTGTTATTCTGTAGACCAGGAGGGGTTGTCAGCAACTGGTTTCCTCTGAAATGTCCTGTTTGATGTAAATGGCTGACTTGGTCCATTCTAGCTGTTTTAACAAAAGGGCACAGACTGAGTAGCTTATAAACAAGTGGAATTTATTTCTCAGAGACGTGGAGCTGAAAGTCTCGGATCAGGGTGCCAGCAAGGTCAGGCGAGGGCCTTCTTCTGGGCTGCAGACTGCTGACTTCTCTCTGTGTCCCCTAGGGAGCTCTCTGGGGCACCTTTTATAAAGGTGCTAATCCCATCCGTGAGAGCTCCCCCTTATGACCTAAGCACTTGCCAAAGGCCCCGCCTCCTAATACCATCACATTGGGCATTTAGATTTCAACATATGCATTTGTGGGGACAGAAACATTCCAATCACAGCAGTATCCTTTTTTTTTTTTTTTTTTTTTAGAAAAGTGGACTTGAGACTTAAAAGGAAATGCCTCTGCTTACATCACTTTCATAAACCCTTCCCTTTATTTTTTGCTTTTTCTTTTTGAGGGTAGCACACTAAAATCTATCCAAATGAAACCAGTGAATGGCCTGAGGACCAAAATCTTCCTCTTTCCTACTGTTTTTAGGTCATTTATATTTTATATACAAAACTTATTCATGGAAATCAGTGGTCTCCCTCTCTCCAGCTCCTAATTTGATCTAAAGTTTCCAGTGTGTGTTAAATTTTAGTTTAGCCTTAGGGCTAATTGTTTATATTATAATTACAATTATTTTTGCCATCTCTAGTAGGGTTAAGAGCTAAAAGTTGTGCATTTGCTCTATGGGCATTAAATAATATTTGGCTGAATGCCTATAGATTCCAATAGAATATCTCAGATATTCCAATAGAATAGATTTCAGATTTACTGTTAAATAATAATGACTTCTTTGCCATGAAGTGCTTGGCTAATATTGGTTAAGACTGATTAAATCGTCTATCACTTTGTGAGAACAATCCTTATCCTCATGTTTTAAGTGATAAAACTGAGGCAGAGGATTTAGGGAGTTTGCCCAAAGTAGCATTCTAAGGCAGGTAAAAATAGAATCACAACATTTGCCAGTCTCCTTAAATCACTGGTTTCCTTTAGAGTCATTCCTGTAATTTTGGGTATTGCTCCCCACTCTCTTTTCTTAAGGAGAAAGACATATGTTTTTAAAAGAACACACTTGTATTCTTAAATTTTTCATACCTTGGAATGCATAGGTGCTTTAGTTAGTGAGGGTTGAGGGCTTTGAAATTAACCCAATTACTCTGGGAAAAAAAAAACCAGCAGTTATGATTCAACTCAGATATAGACAGTGGACATTCGGCTGTAAAGCCATACTCTTTTCTGTCTACATTTCTCCCTTTAGGGTGATTTGTGCAAAAAGGCAGGGAAAGTCATCATTATCATTACATCATTTATGCCCTAATTCCTTTTGAGAAAACTTCCCATGTCCCTACCTACCTCTTTACGGTCATTTGAGGCATTTCCAAGTCAGAGGAGTTGCACGCATTTTTCCACAATAGGCAATTTGGAGGAAGGGTGGGCCGACCACCCCGCCCCTCTTGTTGCTCACTTTCCTTCCGCTTCAGCCAAGCCCCAGTGGGCACCTGCACCCCTCAGCAGGAGGTGCCTCCGTCCTGGGTGGGAGGCTTGTGGGCAGCTCTGGGAAGTGCTCAGGAAGACAAAGCTCAGGGCTGCAGACTCAGCAGACGAAGAAAAACACCAAGAACACAGAGACAGAACTGGATAAGTCCGGGAAAGAAAAGAATTTAAATTGAAGTGAAAAAAGGAAACCTTACGACTATAGGAAAGAAAGCAGGAGTTTACTTCCTCATTCTTTCATCACTATCGTGAATGTACACTTTTCACTCTATTTTTGTAACCTCGTACAGAAACTTGGCTAAAAATGAAAGCCTTTTTATCAGATACTGATTTTGAGGAAGGGTGAGAAAAATAGAGAAAAGTAATTGATATGCTGTGGTGAATTTTAGGACATTTATACATTTTACACATTCCTATATGTAGTTCTGAGTTAGATGTTGTGGGTGATATATAAGATTATAGCACATGGTTTCTTATCTGAAAAACTTGGAGAAAACAAAAAATATATATACATAAATTATATAAGATTTAAACAAAGTCACATGGTCACCCTTTGAATTGCTGGAGAACAATCTAAAAATGTTTTAGGAAA